AGTGTATATTGTATTCATAGCAAACTTTGCGTATTATAAGTGTATAGTGTCCCCATAGCTAACTTGGGGTATTACAAATGTATAGTGTCCCAATAACTAACTTGGAGTATTAAAAGAGTATAGTGTCCCAATAACTAACTTGGGAAATTATAAGTGTATAGTGTCCCCAGAGTTAACTTGGAATATTATAAGTGTATAGTGTCTCCTTAGCTAACTTGGACTATTATCAGTGTATAGTGTCCCCTTAACTAACATGGGGTATTATAAGTGTACAGTGTCCACATAGCTAACTTGTAGTATTATAAGTGTATAGTGTCTCCATAGCTAACGTGTAGCATTATAAATATATAGTGTCCCCATAACTAACTTGGGGTATTAGAAGTGTATAGTGTCCCCATAGCTAACTTGGGGTATTATACACGTATAGTTTCCCCTTAACTAACTTGGAGTATTATATGCGTATAGTGTACCTATAGCTTACTTGAAGTATTATAAGTGTATATTGTATTCATAGCAAACTTTGCGTATTATAAGTGTATAGTGTCCCCATAGCTAACTTGGAGTATTATAAGTGTATAGTGTCCCCACTTGGAGTATTATAAGTGTATAGTGTCCCCATAGCTAACTTGGAGTATTAAAAGTGTAGAGTGTCCCCATAACTAACTTGGAGTATTAAAAAGGTATAGTGTCCCTATAATGAACTTGGAGTATTAAAAGTATATAGTGTCCCCAGAGCTAACTTGGGGTATTACAAGTGTATAGTGTGCCCAGAGCTAACTTGGGGTATTAAAAGTGTATAGTGTCCCCAGAACTAACTTGGAGTATTATCAGTGTATAGTGTCCCCATAACTAACTTCGGTTATTACAAGTGTATAGTGTCCCCAGAGCTAACTTGGAGTATTATCAGTGTATAGTGCCCCCAGAGCTAACTTGGGGTATTACAAGTGTATAGTGTCCCCAGAGCTAACTTGGAGTATTATCAGTGTATAGTGTCCCCATAACTAACTTCGGTTATTACAAGTGTATAGTGTCCACAGAGCTAACTTGGAGTATTATCAGTGTATAGTGCCCCCAGAGCTAACTTGGGGTATTACAAATGTATAGTGTCCCCAGAGCTAACTTGGAGTATTATCAGTGTATAGTGCCCCCAGAGCTAACTTGGGGTATTACAAATGTATAGTGTCCCCAGAGCTAACTTGGAGTATTATCAGTGTATAGTGTCCCCATAACTAACTTCGGTTATTACAAGTTTATTGTGTCCCCAGAGCTAACTTGGAGTATTATCAGTGTATAGTGCCCCCAGAGCTAACTGGGATTATTATCAGTGTATAGTGTCCCCATAACTGGAGTTTTCTTAGATGATGAATACAAGAAATTTGAATGCTAGGCCATCCATTAAACTGTTAACTGTGGTTAGCTGAAAATATTTTGGAAATTTAGAGTACAATAATCAACTTGGAATATGGCAAAAATGTATTTTAAAATCTTACGTATTGGCCACAGTTTTGAAAATTCACAGTTTAGGGAATACATCCTATGTGTTGCTTCTACTAATTTATAAGTCAGTGGTTCATTCCTTGGTCCCTTAAAGTAAATATATTGATGACATTTATACAGTATATTAGGTAATCCTTAGGTATAAAGCCATGAATGTCATGATTAAAATAAAAGTCTAAACATCACTTAAAGCGACTCTATAAGTACCAAAACAACTTTTGCTTAAAGGACCACTATAGTGCCAGGAAAACATACTCGTCCTTGGGTCCCCCTCACCCTCTGGGTCCCTCTTCCGCCGGGCTCTAGGTGGAGGAAAGGGTTAATCCCTTACCTTTTTTCCAGTGCAGGGCTCCCTTGGCGCTGGGCACTCTCCTCCTCCTTTCCCGTCATCAGCTGAATGCACATGCGCGGCGCGAGCTGCACGCGCATTCAGCCAGTCTCATAGGAAAGCATTCTCAATGCTTTCCTATGGATGCTGGCGTTTTCTCACTGTGAAAATCGCCTCTAGCAGCTGTCAATGAGACAGCTCTAGCAGCTGTCAATGAGACAGCCACTAGAGGCTGGATTAACCCATTTGTAAACATAGCAGTTTCTCTGAAACTATTATGTTTACAGCAGAAAGGGTTAATCCTAGATGGACCTGGCACCCAGACCACTTCATTAAGCTGAAGTGGTCTGGGTGCCTATAGTGGTCCTTTAATGTATTGGTTGTGATGCATCGTTTGTGTCCCATGCACTTTAACTACCCAATCACTTTGTTTATGCAACCCTAGTCGAATCTCCCCTGCATGTGAACCGCACAGTTTCATTACACATTTCATGTGAAGAGACATCTGTCTTCCATTATTGCCCATTGTGTTTAATTTATAATTTCTGCTGTGTGTGATCAAAGTTCAATTAACAGAGCAGGAGACACTACCTTCTAAAGTAAACACACTGTGCTGAAAGATTTGATTGAAAATTAAACAATTTTTTCATATAGGCTCTGTGAGTCACAGCCAGGGGAGGTGTGATTAGGGCTGCATAAGCAGAAGCAAACTTGATTTAAAGGAAAATGATAGTGTTAGAAATACAAAACTGTATTCCTAACACAATGGGTCTTTCTGGTCCATCTGGCTCTCACCGGCTCCACTCCCATCCAGTGGCAAATTAAGGATAAGAAAACTATTTTTGAACATACCCAATTCCAGTGCTAATTCACCTTGAAGCTGGGTCACATTCAGGGCTGGCCTTAGGTGTTCAGGCGCCCTGTGCGAGCCAATCTTGTGGCTCCCCCCTCGCCATCTCTGTTTGACTCCCTCTAGACAATTTCAGGCACATTCACAATCTGTTGCCTGCACCCCCTTCAACAAAACCCCCTTCATCAGTCGCCTGCCCCCTTTATATCCAGTCCCCTGCCCCTCTTTATCACCAGCCCCCTGCCCCCTTCAATAAAACACAATTGTTATATATAAACAAAACCAAAAAAAGCAATAAGGACAAGCACCTACATTAAAGGTTGCTGCTCCCTGGACCCAGCTGTCCATTTTTCCCACTCCACCTACTCGCCAACTGAAGAGCACCTGCTGCACTGCCACCCACTGAGCTGATCCTTCCGACATTGCGCCCCCATCTTCCTCCTCCACTCTCCTCCTGCAATCCAATTCAGGCCTGTTTGTGAGTGACCGACTGCGAGCTCTGTCGGCCATTCGTCGCCCCTGTTGCCATTATGCCCTGTGCGGCCCCACAGCAGGAAGGGAGGAGTGGAATCAGGGATTCTTTTCTGTGTAGCAAGTACCTGGAGCTTCAGTGAGCTGCAAGCTCTGCCCAGGCTGCCTTTGAGCCCCACCTCCTTCATGCTGTAAGCCCCACCCCTTTACTTGCATAATCCCCGGTGAGAAATAATGAATCCTCCACCCGGGGACTTCCTTTAGCTCCCCCTGCACTCACCAGGCCATGTGCGAGCTGTGTTGGCTGCATGGTGCCCTGTGCGGTCATACAGCTCACACACCCCTGGGCACCTTTCTCCTCTGCTGATGTCAGCCATTGAATGAACTTAATGCACATGTGTGACCTTCCCCATAGGAAAGCATCGCCTCAACGTTTTGAAGTCACCGGATGTGCTCTTGCAAAGCATAAGGACGTCCAGCGTCGTTTCATGGAGTCAAAGTCTGTGAACTTCCAGGAAATGCCTCTAGTGGCTGTCTGGTAGACAGTCAGTAGAGGCAGTCTTAGCCCTTTAATAGAAACATTTCACTTTCTGAAAAACTGCATTGTTTTACATTGTAAGTTTAAGAGAGCCAGGACACTGCACCCAGTCCACTTTAACGACATGAAGTGGTATGGGTGTCTATAGCTTCTCTTTAACTCTTCAATAACAGAAAATTCAGCAGTGAGTGTCACAAATCACTCCTTAATTGATATTCCTTTGTGCAGTACCTATTATCACCACTCTCTCTGTTTGGTGCTATTCATTATATTTTGTATCATTTAACACTTCAGCTGACCCTTTTTAGGCACCTTTATAGTTTGGTCTAACCCTTCCCTCAGTGTCAGATCATTGTTTCCTGTATCCTGTGACTCTGACCCTGCATCCTTTGGTCTTTTATCCTGTTTCCTTGTTCCTGTGTCCACCGGTCTTATATCCTGTGACTCTGACCCTGCATCCTCTGGTCTTTTATCCTGTGGCCTTGTTTCCTGTAACTCTGATCCTGCATCCTTTTGGTCTTGTATCCCGTGGCCTTGGCTCCTGTGACTCTGACCTTGCATCCCCTGGTCGTGTAACATGTAAAGTGAAATTTCATAGATAACATTGTACCATATAAATATTGGAAACATTCTTTGTGATTTTTTTTTCTTTTTTTTCTTTTTTGGCAACCATTTATGAATCAGAACCGGACAAATTCAGCAAAACATTTGGAGGATCATCTAAATCTGGTTTGATGAAATCTGGGAGTAGTTCTTCAAGGAACATTGCAGACAGCATGAAAGACCAGCCTGGTTTTACATGGACATCATATAGTTCTGAAACAATGAGCCCTGTTGAAACACAATACTCATGGACTGTGACTGAAGGAGATGCGGAGATGTTTGATGGTGCATTTTCTGGCAGTCAACCTTCCACTAGTAGTTGGGAAATGTATAGCTCAGGAAGAGATTATTTTAATGGCATGAATGGGGAACCTAGTTCTAGCTGGATTACATATGGAGATCAGAATGGAAAAAGGAGTTCCAATTCAAACTGGGATATGTATGAAGGGGGGGAAATGGTGACCGGAAGTGGAACAGGTTTCAATTGGGACTCATTTGATTATAGCAAAGATGATAATTTTAATATGAAAGGTGGTGTTAATGCTGCTGACAACAGTAAGGGCCTACAGGGGAAAGACAAAAAAGGTGGTCTAGGAAATATCTTGGGTGGAAATAAGAAACAGAAATCAGAGGTAGAAAGCAGTGGTAAAAAAGGGGAAGGAAATAAAAAAGGTGGATTGCTCAGAGGTATTGGTGGAGGAAGTAAGGGTATCCTAGGTAGTACTGGTCTTGTTGGAGGACTTGGTGGTGGTGATCTTGTGGGAGGACTTGGTAGTGGTTTTGTGGGAGGACTTGATGGTGGTCTTGTGGGAGGACTTGTTGGAAATGATTATGTGGAAGGACTTGGTGGTGGTCTCGGTGGAGGAATTGGTGGTGGTCTTGGTGGAGGAATTGGTGGTGGTCTTGTGGGAGGTGGTGGTGGTCTTGCAGGAGGACTTGCAGGAGGACTTGGTGGTGATCTTGTAGGAGAACTTGGTGGTGGTCTTGTGGGAGGACTTGCGGGAGGACTTGGTGGTGATCTTGTAGGAGAACTTGGTGATGGTCTCGGTGGAGGACTTGGTGGTGGTCTCAGTGGAGGAATTGGTGGTGGTCTTGTAGGAGAACTTGGTGGTGGTCTTGTAGGAGAACTTGGTGGTGGTCTCGGTGGAGGACTTGGTGGTCTCGGTGGAGAACTTGGTGGTGGTCTCGGTGGAGGACTTGGTGGTGGTCTTGTAGGAGAACTTGGTGGTGGTCTTGGTGGAGGACTTGGTGGTGGTCTCGGTGGAGGACTTGGTGGTGGTCTCGGTGGAGGACTTGCGGTGTTGGTGGAGGATCGCGGGTGGTCTTGTAGGAGAACTCTGGTGGTGGTCTTGTAGGAGAACTTGGTGGTGGACTTGGTGGTGGACTTGGTGGGTGGTCTCTGTAGGAGAACTTGGTGGTGGTCTTGGTGGGAGGACTTGGTGGTGGTCTCGTGGAGGACTTGCAGTGGTCTTGTAGGGAGAACTTGGTGGTGGTCTGCAGAGAACTTGGTGGTGGCTCCCAGTAGGAGAACTTGTGGGTGGTGGCCTCCTAGAGGAGAACTTGGTGGTGGCCTTGTAGGAGAATCCCAGGTGGTCTTGGTGGAGGACTTGATGGTGGTCTCGTGGAGGACTTGGTGGTGGTCTTGTAGGAGAACTTGGTGGTGGTCTTGTAGGAGAAATTGGTGGTGGTCTTGCAGGAGAACTTGGTGGTGGTCTTGTAGGAGAACTTGGTGGTGGTCTTGTAGGAGAACTTGGTGGTGGTCTTGTAGGAGAACTTGGTGGTGGTCTTGTTGGAGGATTTGGTGGTGGTCTTGTAGGAGAACTTGGTGGTGGTCTTGTAGGAGAACTTGGTGGTGGTCTTGTAGGAGAACTTGGTGGTGGTCTTGGTGGAGGACTTGGTGGTGGTCTTGGTGGAGGACTTGGTGGTGGTCTTGGTGGAGGACTTGGTGGTGGTCTTGTAGGAGAACTTGGTGGTGGTCTTGTAGGAGAAATTGGTGGTGGTCTTGTAGGAGAACTTGGTGGTGGTCTTGTAGGAGAACTTGGTGGTGGTCTTGGTGGAGGACTTGGTGGTGGTCTCGTCGGAGAACTTGGTGGTGGTCTTGTAGGAGAACTTGGTGGTGGTCTTGTAGGAGAACTTGGTGGTGGTCTTGGTGGAGAATTTGGTGGTCTTGTAGGAGACCTTGGTGGTGGTCTTGTAGGAGAACTTGGTGGTGGTCTCGGTGGAGGATTTGGTGGTGGTCTTGTAGGAGAACTTGGTGGTGGTCTTGTAGGAGAACTTGGTGGTGGTCTTGGTGAAGGATTTGGTGGTGGTCTTGTAGGAGAACTTGGTGGTGGTCTTGTAGGAGAACTTGGTGGTGGTCTTGTAGGAGAACTTGGTGGTGGTCTTGGTGGAGGACTTGGTGGTGGTCTCGTAGGAGAACTTGGAGGTGGTCTTGTAGGAGAACTTGGTGGGGGTCTCGGTGGAGGATTTGGTGGTGTTCTTGTAGGAGAACTTGGTGGTGGTCTTGTAGGAGAACTTGGTGGTGGTCTCGTAGGAGAACTTGGAGGTGGTCTTGTAGGAGAACTTGGTGGTGGTCTCGGTGGAGGATTTGGTGGTGTTCTTGTAGGAGAACTTGGTGGTGGTCTTGTAGGAGAACTTGGTGGTGGTCTCGGTGGAGGACTTGGTGGTGGTCTTGTAGGAGAACTTGGTGGTGGTCTCGGTGGAGGATTTGGTGGTCTTGTAGGAGACCTTGGTGGCGGTCTTGTAGGAGACCTTGGTGATGGTCTAGTAGGAGGAATTATTGATGAAGATTTGCTCAGAGTTCTTGGAGGTTATCTTCCTGTGGGTGACCTGCTTGGTGAGGATCTTCTTGGAGTTCTTCTTGAGGATGACCTGCTAAGTGGAGTGCTTGGTGAGGGTGGCATACTGGGAGAATTTCTTAGTAGTGATTTGCTTGGTGAAGTTCTTGGAGGACTTCCTGTGGATGACCTGCTTAGTGTAGTGCTTGGTGAGGGTGGCATACTGGGAGAATTTCTTAGTAGTGATTTGCTCGGTGAAGTTCTTGGAGGACTTCCTGTGGATGACCTGCTTAGTGTAGTGCTTGGTGAGGGTGGCATACTGGGAGAATTTCTTAGTAGTGATTTGCTTGGTGAAGTTCTTGGAGGACTTCCTGTGGATGACCTGCTTAGTGTAGTGCTTGGTGAGGGTGGCATACTGGGAGAATTTCTTAGTAGTGATTTGCTCGGTGAAGTTCTTGGAGGACTTCCTGTGGATGACCTGCTTAGTGTAGTGCTTGGTGAGGGTGGCATACTGGGAGAATTTCTTAGTAGTGATTTGCTTGGTGAAGTTCTTGGAGGACTTCCTGTGGATGACCTGCTTAGTGTAGTGCTTGGTGAGGGTGGCATACTGGGAGGACTTATTGGTGGTGACTTGTTCAGTGGAGTTCTTGGAGGTGATCTTTTTGGAATACTTGGTGATGGTGATTTGCTGGGTGGAGTAATGGGAGCTCTAACAGACACACTTGGGTAAGTGAAATATTTTATTAACCATATGCTTCCTTTTTTAAAGTCAACTGTTTTGTAAGCTAGATTCAGGCATGATTCCAAGAGTAAATAAGTCATATTTTGATGCAATATATGAGGTATAATAAGACTTTCCTCACAACATCTCTTGTGTTCACAACATCTCTTGTGTTCACAACCTGTGCCACCTGTCCTGACCTTTTTTGTATCCTTGACTACTCTCTCCATTTGACCCCTTTTGTACTGCAATTTTGGTCCATCTACTTTCAGCGCTCCTCTGCATTGGGGGCTTCATCTAACAGAACAATTTAAAATGGAGCTTACTGACGTTGCTCGATACCCTAATGACACTAGTGACCAACCTGACTCAAGCTGTCCAAGAATTGCAAATGCAAGCAAGGACACCTATGCCTGCTGTGTTCCATCGGTAGCTGACAATCTGCTACCCCTTCCGGAAGATACTTCTATGGCACCTGAACCACAGATCACCATGTCTGAAAAGTTTACAGGTGATCGTTTTTAAGTACCAGTCTTTTATTATGTCCTGTGAGTTGATGTTCGATTTACAACCATGCACATACCACTCTGATTCCATCAAAGTAGATGGTTACTATGATATCCCTCCTTTCTGGCCCTCGACAAGAATAGTCACATGAATTGCTGTACAAAGCTGGGACTCCTTTGTAGCACTTATGGAGGCAAGATTCTTCTCAAACAGCCATCAGAGCCTTGCGGCAAGGGTGCAGACTAGTGGAGGAATACATAACCGATTTAGAACGTTATGCTTCATGGAATGAAATCGGCCTTATCAATCAGTTTTGCCTGGGCCTCTCAGAACCTCTCAAAGATGATTTTGCTCACTTTAGTGTTCTGGATTTGTTGGAAAACTTTATGCAAAAGGATATCCAGCTAGATAGATGATTACGCGAGAGGCGTCATGAGAAAGCAACCTTTCTCTCTCTGGACACTTGCTCCACCTCCCAGGTTCTAGTAACTCCCTTCCTCACATCTGACTGGGGAACCAATGCAAATTGGACTGGCTCAAGGTCATCTACCACCTGCTGAATTACAACAAAGAAGGAGAGAGAACCTATGCCTTTACTGTGGACATCCACAACATACCGTAAGGACCTGCCCCGAAAGCCAAGAGCTACAAGGTGTAAGCAAATCTGTGTAACACTCCTACCCTTCACTACAACTGCTCCCTTAACAGGCTCTCTCTCCTTGCAGTGGAAAACATCTAATCATGAATGCCAGGTGTTAATCGACTGTCCCCAGTGCATAGTGGTTGCTTCCTTGATTCTTTGGCTGCTACCTTACAAATCCCACTAATCAATAAAAACACTCAATTAAACAAACTAGTGGTAGATGGGTCTTTCCTGAAATCAGGTTAATTACTGAAACAAACTAAGCCTATTCTTGTCTCTTTAGGGAAACATAAAGAATACATTGTATTTGATCTTGTCCCCTCACCTCTGTTTCCAGTAATTCTCGGTATTCCCTGGTTACGCAAGCACGATACGGTTATCAAATGGACTTCAGGAAACTTATCTTTCTTCTCCACTCTCTGGACCACTCAATGCCTCCAAAACAACCTCACCACAGGTTATATACATTCCATACTGGCTGCCGATATAAGAAAAGTCAAAAGGTTCTACTCCTCCAAGTATATCATAAATATTCAAACGTTTTTGACAAGAAAGGGGTTGATACTTTGCCACCATGGAGGGAATACGATTGCCCCATAGACCTGTTACCTGGGGGTCCCATACCATTTGGTAGAATATATCCATTGGCAGAGAAAGAGCTTGTTATTCTCAAAGAACATATAAATGTAAATTTGACAAAAGATTTTATCCACACTTCCACTTCTCCAGCAGGAGACGGGATCTTCTTTGTGGGAACGAAGGATGGTAGTCTATGTCCCTGTGTGGAATACAGAGAGCTGAACAAGATTACAGTCAAAAATAAATTCCCACTCCCTTTCATCCCTTGATTAATTGAGCGATTACAAGCAGCCTCTGTGTACACCAAATTGGATTAAAGGGGTGCCTATAATTTCCTTTGTGTCAGAGAAGGAGACGAATGGAAAACCGCCTTTCGGTTCCGATTCGGACACTATGAACATACAGTGATGCCATATGGCCTCTGCAATGCCCCCACTTCATTTCAACACTTCCTCAATGATACCTTTTTAGAGACCTCCTTGATCAGTATGTGGTAATCTATCTAGACAACAGATCTCACAAATCACCTTCGATAAATTATTCTTCATCACAGCCCCTGTATTACGTATACCAGAACAATATAAACCCTTCTTTCTTGAGGTCGATGCCTCTGATACTGCCACCAGGGCAGTCTTAGAGATATGGAAAAACAGATGCTCTTCATCCTGTCACCTTTTATTCAAAGAGACTGATCAAAGCCGAGGCTAATTATGACGTCGCTGACTAGGAATTACTGGCTATTAAGAGAGCATTTTTTTTAGGAATGGAGACATCTATTAGATGGTACAAGTTATCCCATCACAGTTTACATAGATCATAAGAACCTAGAGTACCTGCGCTCGGCAAAATGACTCAATCCACGACAGGCCCTAAAAGCTGATGCCCTGTCAAGAATGTTCATCCCAGATGAGACAAACACTTCCTAGGCATCATGTCTACTATTATAAAGGACATCAAAACTACTGCGGCAAATACTAATCTGTATCCAGAAGGGTTTCCAATGTCTCATGAGAGGATCTATGTTAATGAACCCTTTCATCTCCGTGTACTGCAACACTTCCAGTATCTGGTCATAATGGACAACAAAAGACCATACTTGCCATCCAACAATATTTCTGGTGGCCTACTCTTAAACAGGATGTAATAAACTATGTGAGTACCTGTACTACCTATGCCAGAGCAAAAGCACTAACCATGAAAACGGCATATCTATTACAACCTCTACCAATCTCCAGACCTTGGAGTCATATCACCATCGACTTCATCGTTGATCTTCCTGAACCCCATGGATACGATACCATAATGGTTACCGTCGATCATTTGAACATGATGGCTCATGTTTTATTCCAGTAGAGGGCCTCCCCACTGCCAAAAAGACAGATGATGATTCACTCTTTTTCATGATTATATTTTTAGGTTACATGGGATCCCTGACTCTAGCCTCTCTGACACGGGGACCCAGTTCACATCCTACTTCTGGAAAGCCTTCTGTCAGTCCCTCAATATCTCTCTGGACCTTTCACCCTTCCATCCTCATACTAATGGACAAACCAAACGAACATATCAAACATTGGAAACGTATCTTCGGTGTTACACAATACATCTGCAATCCAACTGGAAAGAACATCTCACTACTGCAGAATGTGCATTCAATACGCATGTACACAACTCCACACATGCTTCTTCTTTTATTCTTAATTACGGATTCCAATCTACATCTCTTTCAGGACTGTCCATTTCATCCATGGTCCCAGATACCTACACTCACGTCAAACAACTAACACAAGGATTTCTCAGTGCTCATAAAACACTACAGGATAGTCAATGTCTCTATAAATTGTATGCAGATCGTTACAGAAGAACCTCACCTTCATACCAAGTTGATTAACTTATCTGGTTGTCTACCAGATATCTAAAGTTACCTTGTCCTTCCAAGAAATTAAACTAAATGCATTGGTCCATTTCTTATCAAGAAGGTAATTTCTCCCGTCGTGGTTCAAGTAACTACCACTTACTCACTACCAATTTCATCCATCCTTCCATGTATCACTTCTCAAACCTTTTAAAGAAAATACCTTCCATGGTCGTATTATTCCTCCTCCGGCTCCCGTGATTGTTGCTGGGGAACCTGAGTATGAAGTACAAGACATTCTTGACTCCTGCATTCGAAGAGGAAACTTCAAATATCTTATGCATTGGAAGGGATATGGTGCAGATGAGAGGTCCTGGGAACCTGTGGTTAACATCAATGTTCCCTGCCTACTTTGAAGGTTTAATCTCCGACACCCTTCTCATCCTGGTCCTAGTAGTCATTTCCCACACACGGTGACACACAGAGCTTCTGCAAAATCATATGGCATGAAACAGGGTCTCTTAAAGGTACAGAAGGTGGAGACCAGGAAGGAGCTACAGAAGGCAGACTACCCACTATTTAAACCCCACAAACCCTTGACGCCTCGCTCAGTTGTACTGTGCTCCTGATTGTGTAAAGACCTTCACTGACTACTTGCCCTATCCCGCTTTTGACCCTTGCTTGAATCATAATTTCTGAACCTGTGTTGCCTGTCCTGACGTTTTTGCATCCTCAACTATGCTTTCCATTTTACTCCTTTTGTACTGCAAACCTGGTCCATCTACTATCAGGGCTCCTCTGCAACTGAGGGCTTAATCTACTAAACAGCTATCCTGGCATAGGCTTGCAAAGGCTGCAGACAGGAGGTTTGCAGCTTTTGCAAACAGTTTTAGCTATACCTCCGAAGAAACAAAAATGCATCATTAAATGCATGCATGTTTTCATTGGTGGAGTATCTACTAAATAGTTTTCTTTCCTCATAAAGAGTTCCTTTCAATCTATAGTCATCCCAGACTGGACACATCCTTGGGTACCACTGTATCTCCAAGAAAAGAAGTAGACATTTAATAATATTCTGCATAATACTAACATTTAGTAACGTGTTTAAATCCAGGTAATTGAAAACACATGTATAAATGAAGCTTTAGTACTTTACTCACACTAGGTAGGGTGCATACTCAAGAACACCCACTAGAGGTCTCTTTAACCCACTACAAAAAAAATGCAAAGCAAATTACATGAAAAGAAAAAAATAATAGATAGATCATGATGGAAAGATAAATGCTAGTTTCTAGCTGTATAAG